CCGCAGCTCACACGGTTTAGGGTTTAGGGTTAAGGGTTTAGGGTTTAGGGTTTAGGGTTTAGGGCCTAGGGCCTAGGGCTTAGGGTTTAGGGTTTAGGGTTTAGGTATGGTAGGGCTTTTGCTATACCCCAAAGGCTGGAAGGCCACCTATAATTACCCAGACACAGAACAGAGAAACCCAGAACCCAACAAGCCCCACAAGCTAAACCATTGAACCCCCAATCCTTTATAAAGCCTAAAACCCTAAGTCTAAACCCGAAAACCCCAAAACCTTTCTTGAACGCCTTAAAGGAGCCATGAAGCCCCTTAACCCCACTCTCTCAGACTCAGACTCGCCCGAACTACCCGATTCATCTTCCCACCTGCGCGAGGGCGCTGCGCTCCTCCTGGAGTTCGGACCTCGGGCGCGATTCCGGGGCCAGACTCATCCTGTCCCCAGAGAATCCAATAGCCTTTTATAATGGAAATATACCTTAAACTATACGGGATATTCCTTAATTGAATACCCTTTAACTAATAAAATATACCTTAAATTATACGGGCCTGAATATTATGATTTCACATAGGTATATTCCTTAATTAAGTGGCATTGGGCTCTCAGGGTCCTTTTAAGGGTTCAGGGTCAGACCTTCCAATATCCTTTAATTGAAGGAACATACCTTATAAGGGTTCCTTAAAGGGATCTAAATGAAGGAACATACCTTATAAGGGCTCCTTAAAGGGATCTAAATGAAGGAACATACCTTAAGGGTTCCTTAAAGGGATCTAAATGAAGGAACATACCTTACAAGGGCTCCTTTAAAGGGATCTATACGAGTTTCTGTCAGGGGAGGGGCTACTGCACGAGTTAAGGAATACACCTTAAATCATGTCTAGGGGATCCCTATTATGGTTTAAGGTATATGGGTAGTTCTCTAATTGGGATCCCTTTTTAGGCCCCCAATATAGTACGGCACCCTGATGTAAAAGGGACCCTAATTTAGAGAACTACCCATATTCCTTAAGTGAGGGATCTCTGGAATGTCTGGCCAGCTGTACGCAGATGGTTGGGATCGGGTCAAGACTGGGAGTTGAGGGTTTGGACCTTCGACTTCAGATTCCTTGAACCCTAAAACCCCTAAAAACGAACCTCCCATGACTTTTCTGGTGCTTAGGGTGGGTTAGGGTTTGTGGGTTTTAGGGCTCATTGTCGGGTATAATTATATCCCTGAAGCCTCTAAACCCCTAGCCCACCCTAAGCCCTACAAACCTTAAACCCTAAACCCTAGCCCACCCTAAGCCCGAAACCTTAAACCCTAAACCCTAGCCCACCCTAATTAAGCCCTAAACCCTAAACCCTAAACCCTAAACCCTAGCCCACCCTAAGCCCTATAAACCTTAAACCCCAAACCCCACAAAGCGCACTGGAATCTATAGTCTTGGGCTCCAAGATCCACGCTTGAGTCGTAGTCGGGTTTCTTGAAAACATCACCCTAAGGGTCCATGTGCTCATATAGTATATACATTGGCCTTAATGTAGTCCCTATATAGGTACGTTAGGGCCCATGTATATGCTATATGAGTACATGGACCCTTAGTGTCAACTGCTTTTAGGGTTTAGGGTTTAGGGTTTGCGAACAGATCTTGGTAATCATGGACCCTACCCCTCAACCCTGCAACGTTTTAGATAGCAAAATAAACCCCATAAACCCACGTATCGATGTATGAACCAGTGAAGCCAAGTAGTGCTCTCCAGCTTGTGACTGAAGCCATGAACACCCCTAGTCCGCCCTACGGAAACTTACAGTACATAGCCGTAGCCATAATATCAGACCAAGAAAAACCACCCCCCACTCCCTAAGCCTAAAAGCTAAAAAAGGGTGAACTCCTACACTTCCCTACACCTATAACTGAAACCATAATCCCAAACGAAACAAAGCCTTGAGACCCTCGGCTCCTGTTAAACACAGTGCTGAACTGACCGGGGCTCCGGGCAAGCGCCGTGCATCCCCTGGTGCAAACGCCACGCAAACGACACTGCCTGGGCATGGAAAAGGGCTCACTCTCTCCCTCTCCCCGTCTCTGTGCCTGTCGCGCTCTCTCTCTCTCTCTATCTCCCTCTCTCGCTGTCCTGTTTATAAACAAAGAGAGAGACAGAGAGAGAGAGAGAGAGAGCTTGACAGACAGACAAAAAACACACACCCACACCCACAGACATTCCGAAAGTAGTTGCCCGGGTTTCAGGATATTCGAGGCTGCACTTAGGCCATTAGGCTCTACTCCAGCGGATTTAGAGAGCTCAGGGAGGTTTCTGTTTGAGGCTTTGGAGTTCATCGTTTGGGGTCTTAGGCTAGCAGAGTGAGTTAAGACGCGAGCCGAGGTTAACGTTGCTAGCGTGCTTTTGTACCGGTGTTCGTTTCTCTTAGATGCGCGAGCGAATGTGAGCCCTTATGCGGGAGCCAAACGAGGAGGGTGTGCAGCACCAGCAGAACGTGCGGGAAATGCAGTTGAAGTTGATGGCATCTTACATCCTCCACTTTCCCAAGCCCTCCGACCTAAACTAAAACCTAGGCTCGTACATGAAACCCAAGTCAGTGTTTGACAAAGCTGAACCCGTGATTGACAAAACAAGGGTGTCGTACACGGACACACGACCATGCATCCATCCGTTCCATCCATCCATCCATCCATCCATCCATCCATCCATCCATCCATCCATGCATCCATCCATCCATCCATCCATCCATCCATCCATCCATCAGGAGCAGATGGCGAATGGTTCATACTAAACCCTAAACCCTAAACCCTAAACCCCAAACCCTAAACCCCTAAGCCCTAATCTCCAACCCCTAACGCCTAAACCCCTAAACCCAAAGCCAAATCAGTGATTCTTCAGGTTTCTGTGGTCGGCCCCCACATCTGCTCCGATCTCACGTGCCCTGAGTCGGCGCACCGGGGCCCAACAGCTCTTCCAGCAGCATGCGCAGGGCACCTCCGGGAGGGGCGGGGGAAACATGAGAAATATCTGAAAATAGAAGCAGCTATCTATCTATATATATATATATATTTATTATGTGTATATATATATATACACACATACATACATAACATATAGACAAGTTTTCGGGCTCCTACAAGGTCGCTTTGAGGGTCCGTTAAGGGTACCCGGTAAGGCTTTAGGCATTCCTTCTTCAAGGGACCAAAGGCCATACTCGTTTTGGGGCTGTTGGGCTATGTTGAGCTGTCGATTTCTGTTTCACAGAAACTGAGGCCCAGCCCAATAAGGCTACAGCCCGAAGAAGGGTTTATGGTTGACGACTGCTTGGGGTTCGGAGATGGCATCCTAGAGCTTGTGCAGGGGTGCGCATGCTGTGCTAAGGCCCATCTCTCCGACATGTTCCGGAAAAGTAGGGATAAGAACAGCCCAGTAGATTCAAAAAGTGGCACGCACCCCGCTGCCTGGGTCACGCAGCTGCGGCGGCACGCGCTCCAACAGCACTGACCGTCGCGCCTGCCATCGAACATCCTCGAACCATCTAGCTTGGGTTTGGCTTCAATTCGTGTTATACTACTATTGAGGGTGCTATATTAGGGTACCTTATTTTGGGGTCCTTATAATAAGGATACTACTATTGAGGGTGCTAGGGCATGTATGGGGCATGGAACTCGGATTGAGGGCAGCATTTTTCTCGGGCCGTTAAGGCTAGGAGTCTCCGAAACTGATGAAAATCGGTTTCATGTACCCCGAGCCGTCACGTAGGTAGTTTCATAAATTAGGGTCGTCTTTAGGTCCCCACTGTAGTACGGCACCCTTATAACAAGGACGGGATCCTAATTTAAATAACTACCCCTAAGGGTCCATGTGCTCACATAGCATATACATGGGCCTTAAAGTACCTTTATAGGGACTACATTAAGGCCAATGTATATACTATATGAGCACATGGACCCTTAGGGGAACCCTAAATCCTAAACCCCTAAAAACTGAACCCCTCAACCCCTAAGCCCTGAACCCCTAAACCCCTAAATAACTACCCACAGAGGGCCCCGAATCGGATAGGGCCTGCTCGCGGATCATGTCCATACTCACCTGGACGTAAGGCTGCGGCGGCTGGGCCTGCAAAAGGAAAAGGTCTCTTAACCATATACAGTTAATAAGAACAACAATAAGAATACGACGAATACTCATAATACGAATCATCAGAATAATGACATTTGTAGTAGTAGTAACTGTAATCATGTAATAGTAGTAATACTGAGTCTTTAAGGTGCAGACAAGAGATTTGGAGTTTGATGTGTGCAAAGACAAATACTACTAAGTACTGACAATACCAGGCGCACCTTCACGATAAGGCGACTTAGACTAAAAGCCACTACTTATACTTGCGAAGTTGTTGCTTTTGCCGTTGTCGACACGATCTTCCAGCAAATATATCTAGATCTTACTATGAGTTCTACTTGGACATGTTACATCTTTTGGCCTACCCATAGGCCCCATAGTAGTTCCGTTTTGGGGTTACCTTATAGGATTCTATATATGAACCCCAAAATGGAACTACTTTAGGGCCTATGGGTAGGGCCTAATTTCTATGGGGCAACCAATACGCACCCGGCCTGAAGCCCCGCGAGGTTCAGCGGGGGCAGCGGCGAGCATGCGCCAGAGGGAATGCAGCTGATGGGGTCACCTCACCGTTTAGGGTTTAGGGAAAATGCCGCCCGTCTTAAACAGATCCTGCGGCACTGTTTTCTGACCGTCGCCCCGCATGTCATGTAACCGAACCAATCGTTGTGTGCACTTACTACTTGGGGTTCCGGAGAGAGGCTGCTGAAGTTCCGCTTCACCTTGCCATTCAGGTGCTGACAACTTCTGGATCGCAGCATGTATTCTTGCAATGTGCCGGAGGAAGGGTGGCGGCGGGTTTGTAGTCCGAACGACCTGTATAGGCGGCCGCTCAAGAAATAATCGAACAAGTGCAATTGAGGCGGGGGATTTCGCATGGTTGGGAAACGTCGAAGGCTCGAGGCTTCAAGGGAGTTGTTTAGCAGACAAGTTGACAGTTAAAAAAGAGGCCGTAATAAATAGAACAGGGTTTTGGACTCCTTTATGGTATAATTATACTTATGAACCCCCCAAAATAGTACTGGTAATTATTGAGGCTCCTATGTTAACATTTGGTCTGGACCATCCAGGTGCTCAATCAGATCCGAAGGGACACTTTGACGGAAGAACCGTTCGGGCAGAGCCTCCGCACAGCAGGCGTGGCGGTGTCACCCCACGGCTCCAGTTGATCTGGATGCTGTTGATGTCCTTACAGAAGGGGCTTGCCAGCCAGCATGCTCGCAAGCTGTAGATTCTTCAGGTCTTCGAACCCCTTATAAACCCTAAACCCCTAAACTTCCCTAAACCCTAAACCCTAAACCCGCCTAATGTCTACGATACCCTCAGCTGCGGACAGCAGGTTTTCGAGTGGAGGCTGGGCAGAAGGCGCTCGTTTCAACTGCAAGACACTCCGAAGCCCAAAGAGCAGGCCGGTTTAGGCTTCAATATAGGGTTTAGGGGTTTAATAAAGGGCTTAGGGTTTAATATAGGGTTAGGGGTTTTATATAGGGTTTATAGGGTTTAGGGGTTTAGGGTTTAATATAGAGGCCTCACTAATTACCTATACTTTTTTTTTGTTGGGGG